CCTCACAGAAAATACATTACTTCCCCGCTTCAGAGACCAACCGATTAATTTTGTTAAGGAAACAAACGCTGTGTAGTTTGAGAACCATACGAAACACACAAAAGCGATCTATTGGTAGAATGCAGAGTTTTTATGTCTTAAAGCAGATGATACATGCAATAAACAAGGTAATTTTTCTCTCGTCGCACATAAGATTGGTGCATGGCATGAGCTAAACTATAAATTTCGCTAAAACATACAACTTTTATTTTTAATGTCCTCTCATTATAATATATGACGAGGTATGATAAATAATTTATGTTTCGGAACGATGCTCTATCTGTGTGCTGTATTCGCTTGGAAAATAACAATTTATGGCCATATGTAGTGGATGATCTGTCCTTTTAGCTATCTTTGGAAGAACTGATTTCTGTCTGTAACAAATAAGTATCAAGACAAACGAGGAAGGTCTGTACAATATACATTAAAAAGAAACTGACAAAAAATATACGAACTTCAATGTTCTATGACTACCGTTGTTTCCTTGTAATCATAGAGATGTAATATAGGCAATTTGCTATTCTAGAAGTCATGACACATGTAAAATGTCCAATGTCTCAGAATTAATTGTGACACACAACAGGTTAGAATGTAAGAAGAAAATGACTAAATTAGTCTGCGACTTTTGCGGGCGGGTTGTCGTAGGATTACAATATAGTTACTTATGTTGTAATGGTGTTTAATATTCCAATAATACTTTTCTTATTCGAATCTTGCATCACCTTTTTGCTACAAGACACATGGTTATTGCAGAATACTCTCTGATCTTTAGTTTACTATGAGCCAACTGCTTAGGTTATGCAATATAAAATAAAAAAATATAAGATGTTTATGAATGATAAATTGGAACCGAAGTGAGAGGATATATCTTCAGTAAAAGTAGCGTGTCTCTTCTGAGACATAACGACATGTAGTCCCGTTGAAAATCAGAAGAAGTTTCGGAGAAGCATGTCTTCATCTTCAGATAGACTTGAAGGGATTCTGACAGTGGTGTATACTGCACTTCTTTTGGCTTATTTTGGACTTCACCCATCGTCTTGTATGTAAAAGACAAAGGGCCACGACGTTTCTGAGACTGGATCTGTCTCCGTCTTCAGGTGAGTAGGGAAGGACAAACATACTCAGTTGGGCCCGTTAGAAAGAGCTAGTCTCAATCACTGGACGTCGTGGTCTTTTGTCTTTTACATACCAGACGATGGATGAAGTCCAAAACAAGCCAAAAGAAGTACTTCATCTTCAGGTTGAATAGTAAACCAAGCAAGAAGATACCAGCATGAAACAGGCAGCAAACGATGTCTTTCAAAAATATAACTTCTCAACCACTGCTGTGAGAACCCCAAATCCTACAGCCTCTTCATTAGACGGAATTCGATCGGGGTCCTGTCAAACACAAGATAACGGTTGTTAAGACTCAAGAAATATTCCATTAAAACTTAAAATAACAAAGGACATAATTTCTTAGACGAAATTCGATCGGGGTCCTGTCAAACACAAGATGATGGTTGTTAAGAATAGAGAAATATTCCATTAAAACTGTTAAAACAACAAAAGAAATATTTTTAATACAGCGTTGTTTAATAACGGACGAATGAGTATTATAAAATACACATTTTAACTCCTGATATTTTTTTTTGGGCATTAACGCGGCAACCCTCCTGCTTGGTGATTGGTCATGTGGATAATATTTCACCGCAACATTTTACTGGGTGAAGAAGCTGATATGGGAATTGGATTGAACTGGTTCAGAGCCGGTAGCAGTGATGGACTTCGCTGCTACCCAACACGATCGAGGGAGTTGGATCAGAAGATAATGAAACTGACTTCTATTATGCAAGTGCTACTTTGAAAACTGGACTGGGACTTCAGCTCTGTTGGCTGAGGATCTTAGAGGTTTATCTCCGTTCTTGGAATAGTACCTCAAATCAGGCCACGACAGCTCCGTTCCAAATCCTCTGCAATTCGTTATTCGCTGATCTTCCTAGAGTTTTATATTATACAGTCTGATTTATTGTTAACATCGTTAAATACTCTAAAAATAAAAAAAAAATAACTAAATAAATTAATTATTTACACATTTCTCTATATATTTATTTCGTTTTCATCTGTTCCTTTTTCGTTTTCCTGTCTCACATTCCTTCTTTCTTAGTTTTTCCCCATTTCTTCCTAACTTTCCTTGTACTAGTGAATGTTTTTTTTTCTTCTTTTCCCTTTCTATCTGCCTTCCTTTCATTTTGCGAATCTCGATTCCTCAACACGCCTCTCCACTTGAACCCAAGGACATTTCTTCGGTTATGCCCCGAATGCATATCTTATGATTATGACGTTATTTATCGTGATTTGTGTATGAAGCACGTTGGCAGGAAGTCGCTCTGTACTGCAACATCCGTGACCTTATGTCCGGTCTCAGGACTGAGATTTTAACCCGGGAACTCCTGAGTGAGAAGCGGGTGTACTGCCCTCTTGACAGTGAGGTACGGTAGTGGGCTGTTGTAAACATGATGAAACATGAAGAAAGTTGTCTTCTGGGTTTAGGCACCGTGTATTCTTCGTTTTGGCCGACGTTTCGGAGGAACGTAGCGCCTCCATCTTCAGAGCAGTTGAATAGCTGCGGAGAGCAGTAGCTGCTCCAGCTACTGCTCTCCGCAGCTATTCAACTGCTCTGAAGATGGAGGCGCTACGTTCCTCCGAAACGTCGGCCAAAACGAAGAATACACGGTGCCTAAACCCAGAAGACAACTTTCTTCATTGTCATCGCCGTGAAAACCTCAAAACTTACATGATGAAACATGTTTGAGCTTCATGTTGTGTCACTGCTAATCATATCCATATGTACGTAGCGTCTGTCATATCCAGTACGAGCATACAATTTATCATAACTTAAGTCCCGCTTCTCGTTACTTACAGCTAAATATTTTGACCTTAAAGGCTATAATAGGATACATTATATGTATTATATCCAAACTGTTTGTTGCTTACCTCTCGCGTATAAAAGCGTATCAGTATATTTAGACTGTTAATGTTGGCGAAAATGTCTTCTTGTAAGTTTGACAATTGAATCCAAATAAAAAGAAGCTTATATATGGAATTATAAAATGCGAAATATATCCATTCACACAAGTCACCATAAAGTGTCTAATGGTGTCAGTTTGTAGGATTCTATTGCTCACGTAACGCACTCTATGCAATAATTCACACCACCCTCAAGATGTAGGCGTTTAGCTCAGCTGTTACTATAGTACGCGTTATTAGCTTGCCTGTGAAAAAAAGAAAATAGCTCAGAAATTTCATATATAAATTTTGCTACTTATATTTAAATTCTCCAGGTTCTTGAACACAAACTCATAATTTCTATAATCTTCAAAACAGAGTTGTTGTTCGGCTGTCTGTACAAATAATATTATATTCGCAATCTAAAACGGTCTATTTTTTTGTTGCTAGTGGGGTTGGACTAAGTCCCTTGTACTGCGGCCACTTATGGCCTACTGTACCAGCCCCAGATGATGGGCGAAGGTGATTGTGGAGCAGTTGGTGGAATGAAGATTGTCAGGGGAAACCGAAGTACTCGGAGAAAACCTGCCCCAGTACCACTTTGTCCACCACAAATCCCACTTGATCAGACCCGGGATCGAACCCGGGCCGCCGCGGTGGGAAGCCAGCGACTAACCGCTTGAGCTATGACACGGCCCTCTTAAACGGTCTAACTAACTTTGAAATTTCACATGTGACGCTATAATAACTACTAGCAGGTTGGTCTAGACTTATTCGGAAGACGCTTGGCTCGAATCTCGACCGAAACACCTGCTGCCCTGACTGAGGGTTCTCGTGATTTTCTTCAGTCTCTTCACGCATATTCCGCCTGGCTCCTCCATTAAGTCACAATCACTTCCTTCCAGATCGTTTCCAATTCATCGTTCATTTATCATTCTACGATCCAACACCATAGAATCTCAGTGCTGAAAGCGTCGTTAAATAACCAACTACAACTACTAATAGTTCTTCGCAAGCTACACATATGTTCTCGTGTTCCATTTAAAACACCACAAATGTAACATTTGAGTTATCTAAGTTGAAGTTGGGAAAAAAATCAGCTACTTTTCTAAAGGTAGCTTACCAGGAGGACTGAGGGGCTGTTTCAAGGAAATAGCGTCTCCGGTCTAGAGAACCGAGATTAACGGCCGTGGGGATCGTTACGCTGATCACGCGACACCCTCAACCCGCTAAAGTTGGCACTAACTTCGCCTACAAGCGGCGGTCGCTCGGCCGATATAGTTCGCTTATGAACTAAAACCACGGAGTTAGTGTGGCGAATAGACAGACGGACATTAAGCCATTTTATATGAAATGTTCCAGTACAGAAAAAGTCTGCACTGCAATTTGACGAGAAATTTCCGTTGTTCATGGTGTCAGCATTTGTGAATAGATGCCTGCGCTCTCATTTTATGACTTTCAGAACAGTTCCGTTACCATAGTTACTATAAATTTTTTTAGGGTACGTACTCCTCGTCACAGCACCAGTGCTTTACATTTGGGAGAAAAATAGGTCTCTTGGGAGGGGGGGGGGGATTGACTTGGATTCGAAATCATTCACATAACAGCAAAGACTAACATCTTCCGAGGTCTCGTCTCCAAGAAGACTGTTTTAAGTGTCGATTTGTATCTATGGCTCGCCGTTTAGGAGAAATGTTGTGGGAAAGACAGGCAGGCACACAAACACACGAACTGATTGACAGACTTTTGCTATGTATATGGATGTTCAGTAATGATGCAACATAATTCTGACATATTCTTGTAGCTGTGATTGTGTTGCATTTATGTTAGTAATGGCCCGGTGTTCTCATTGTTAGGATTGCATGAAATATGAGGACTTTCTTGGCCAGCTGAAGGACTGTCGACCTATGAGGTTGTCTGCTCCATGGAATTACGTAGTTAAATGCGCTCATGCCTTTTTGCACTTGTTGCAGGATGTAAAGGGGGATCGGGTGGACGTGCTGATGCCTGCTGACGCATTACACACACGCACACGCAGTAGGCCTGCCTCATCTCTCGGCTGTATTCATCATGGTACGTTCTCATCTAGGCATCCCGCAACATTCTCACGTGACCAGTCGCATGTAGGATGACTTTAAGGATTTCAGTTTAGTTTTGACATTTTGCGTCAGCTTAGGTCATTGGCTGACAAACTAAAAATATTTAATTTCATCATGGACAATTTTCAGGCATCCCATTCTACTTTTTGAGACATGATTCACCCTCCCCCAAGTATTTCTCTTTCCCCTGCCAATTCTCACTGCACCAGCTGCTCCACATATGTCAATCATCTTGCCATTGTCGATATTGACACCGTCGCTAAGTAACTAACTTTAAAATATAGAAAATTGAGACATATGAACGTCGTGGTCAAATAGGTATTTTTTGTCCTTTGTATTGTATTTAAACTCTCAGTACGAAGACCAGCTGTCCTGAATTGTGTTTTTCGTTGGTTTTCTCGGTCCTTTCAGGCAAGTACCGGGATAGTATCTAGCACCTGCGCTTTTGAGGGATACCTTCCTTGGTTCGAATCCAAGTTGAATCTAACTCGTTTAGAATATTCACTCTATATTTGTTTTAAACAAGTTTTAAGAAATGTAAGAAGTGAGCTGGATCGGGAGATGTCGCTCCTGTTTGTTAGAAGCAGGTTGCATACCATGAACTGCTCCATTTTGGAATTGAAAATGTGTTTCTCACTCCGGGGTTTATGGCTTTCTTTCGAGTGCTACGAAATTGTCGCCTTGAAGGATACCGTGCATCACAGAGACAGGAGCAACAATCCTCACCTTCGCACCATCGCTGTCCTTCAAGATGAGTCTTCAGACAGATTCCGGGAGGAAATGATAGCGTGCAGTGCATGCATTTACTCCTTTTTGAGGAGGACCTAAAGTTGATCACCGCGAGAGAAATCATTTACGTAATCATTGGTCTTTATTCTGAATCAACTAATTCAATTCCAGCCACAAATAGCCTGACGTTTCATAATAACCGCATTGATTTGGATTGTGAGTAGTGCTCGTTTATTATTCAAATAGTAAATATAAATTAAGGGCAAACTTTGATTCTCTCCAAGTGTGACTTACTCATAACTAATTAATCGTATACACTTCACATTTCCAACTCGGTTCCGTTGTTTTCCCTGCTGCCCACTCCCATTTACTCGTACATGCCCTAAGAACTCATGCATACCGCTTGGCTAGACAGAAATCTCTAAACCTAGTCCCCGAAGGTTAACTAAGTCAAGAATGGAATGGTTACCATCTCAAAGTAAGTCATGAAGGCTTCTGCTTAGTCTGATTACTGTCAGAGCCACTAAATAAGGCATAAATAAATTTTTATTATTCTGTTATAGCTCTACAGCCCTTTGTTGAGCCTTGGCCGTTTTTTCAGTTTCTTAATTTATACACAGTTGGTAGGACTCCTTGGACTAGGGATCAGCCGGTCGCAAAGCCATTACCTACGCATAGGACAACAGAAACAGAAAAAAAAACACATGCAGGCATATATGCCTCGAGTGGGATTCGATCCAAGATCCCAGTGTTCGAGCGAGCGAAGACGGTTCATGCCTTAGACGTGCGGCCGGTCATTGTGATCGGCACTGTAAATAAATAGAAGTCAAATAATTATGGAGAAAGTTTTAATAGCTACAATTTTTTTTTTTTGAAGGGGAGGAATTTATGACATAATTTTTCTTCATACGATATTCTTCATCCTGCATAGTTGCACTAGAATTAAATTTAAATTAACGGTTAAATAATTGTCCATTTCTGGACATAATTTCTACTAACAGATTCCGACTACCATACATTTGTCATATAGGCCCATAACCACGAAGTTCTGCATCCTCACCCTAATTTTTAATTTTGAAATTCTTACATAATTTGTAAACATTTATGTGAACTATCTCCTTACAACATTTTGTATGTATAACTTGAATATAAATTTTCCCAGGTTTTCACATTGTTTGTTCCTCTCGGGAAGGAGATGTGTTGTTCATTGGTATCCGATACAGGTTGAAAGCTCTGTTACTTTCTCTTTGAAGTGGATTTGAAAATGTCCGCGATTATAGGATTCCAAAACTAGAATCAAAGTTACGTCATATACAATGATAATATTGAACAATGGAGATTAATAACACTGGAAACATCCAGAGTTTCATGTTAAAGTGATGACTCTGTGTCCTCCAGGACTGGTCTGTTTATTTACTTGTCCCCCTCCCCCAATTTGACTCCGCCACTGAATTTGTGGTGTCACTGGACGAGTATGGGCAAATAAGTGCACCTCCAAAATAGACTGTTATTTGAGCACATATAGAAGCTATTTAATAAATGATTAAATATAAGTGAACGTTAGTCAGAACCTAATGGCTGTGATGACTGGCACTGTTGTTTATAATCGAGTCTTCACTAAGAAGTTGGCTGTCCTGTGCTTTCGACTGGTCTTACACTCTCTCTCCAAACAAACTCTGACATAATACCTTAAATAGCTCATATATGCTTCCAAATTCGTGATTCTTAGTGTCTTCCAATAGACGCTGTAGACCCATAATTTATGTAGTTGAAAAGGTGTCGTTAATTGATATTTAGCTCTGTGTATATAGGATTTGTTTGATTGTTACAGTCTTTTGTTCTTTACGGTGTGTTTTGTTCGTTTCAATAAATATTAACCGAGAGGTCATTGTAACAGAATAAGATGGTTTCTTGGAAGAAAGAACAGAATTATAAATATTGTAGCTTGTAGAACCGTTACTGGTTAACGGTGGCAAACAAACACGTCTCCACAGCAACGTATCAACACGCAACACTAGAGGAACTGTTGGAAACTGTGTTTTCTACGGTGGTCCATGCCGAGGAGTTTTAAGTGGAAAGAAGTGAAGACTTAGTGAGATAGACTTAAGCGCCTCTGAGGCTTATCTTACAATGGAAGGATGGAATATCCCCTTTCTCAATCACGTAAAATATCTGGACGTAATCTTCGATAAGAAGATTACATGGAGACTACACATAGAAATGAATGAAGCCAAGCCTTCAGAACATTTATTAGAAACTACTCCCTCTTCAAAAGTGAACGTTAAGCTCCAACATTAAACGAATCCTCCAAGATCAGTAATGACTTATGCTTGCTCCGCCTGGGGATTAACGGCAGACACCTAACTTTTAAAATCGCAGCGCCTGCAAAGCAAGGTTCCCCGCACCACTGGAAATTTTCCGAGGTGCACACACTGCTTTCAACTTTCCATATGTGTACGATTATATACAAAATTGTGCATGCAACAAGCAGAAATCATACAAAATCACAGAATGAACATGTTCGCAGCATAGGACAAGGCGAAGCCAGACAAAAAAAAATATAAGAGGCTTAAACTTGGCGGTGGTCAGGCTCACGACCGTTCAAGTGACTAAGCTGCCGTTGTAGCATAGGATACATAAGATAGGCATGATCTACTTTGCAAAGCCTGTACTGACAGAAGACGTGTGCAAAAGAAGAATTTTCGAAATGGGATATGCGCCAGACAGTAAGGACTTAAGCGAGCAGTGTTAAGATCCGGTACCAGCACACGTCTAGTAAGGACAGAGAAGACTTTATGTGTGCTGTAGTTACAGTGATATTTGGTGTGGGTAGCTCAGTTGAAACTTATAATTATTCGTGGTTACGATCGGTAAGTGCTCAATAAATCCAATATCCAATCCAAATGCACGTCGAGAGTCAGTCATACACGTGACAATGACATTTACCCTCATTGAAAGTTTTGGGTACTATATTCCACGTTCAGTAGGAAAACACTGTTGGCCCTTGCGTCTCTTCTTAGACATTCCTGAGCTTCTTTCTCCTCGAGGTACATATTCCATTGTTGCTCTGTCTTGATAATCTGATGGCACCCGCTACATTTTCTCTTTCCATCCTGACGGTGCTTCGGAATTTCGGGAGTCATGTTCTCTCAAGTCTCTGTGCGATGTGGTCTTATGTTACTGGAAGTAATGAATGAGCTAAGCATCTCATTTAAACCGCCTCAGCACGTCGTTCTTCTACTTTCCTCGGAGCCCAGAATTCGATCCCATATAACAGTGTTGATTTATTAACCACATTACGAAATCTCAACAGTTTATCGATCCTCCCTCGTTTGTCGTTGAAACATTATTCCTAATATTCTGTTAGTTATAATATTGTTACGTGTTTGAGTGTGTCACGCAACAAATAAATCCACGTAGCTCTCAAATTCAGTAGAGCCTTTATTGGACACTTCACTTATACAATCAAGAGTACAATTACTATCCACTGCTTCGCTGTAATATTTCAAGTCTCTTCAGCGGCGGACATTCCAAGACTGTCTTCCTCGGCGGTTGATTCCAGACTGACTCCTTCGGCGACTAATTCCACACTTGCTTCTTCTGTGGATGCTAATACCAAACTGTCTTCTTCAGCGGTTATTGACAGACTAACTGTTCGAATGCATTCAACCCCGTTTTATAACCTCGACCGGTGCTATGCAAACGAGCCTTTGTTATGACCGTGGAAACTCATCTCTATGCAATGCTCACTGTTAGAATTACTGTATCGCTATTGTTACTTCCTAGGCAATGGCCTGTTCTAGCGTTTCCATGGAAGTAACTCTTCTGGATTCCAAACACGTTACAATATATTGTCAGTTACGAGTGTTATTTGCGTATGAATGTAGACGGGGTATAGATTGAATATTGGGTTTATTGACCCCTTCAACAGAACTCGTAACTAAAGAAATACAGCGTTATCGCTTATGTACACACTTTACAGTTCTCCGTTGCACACACGCTAGGATTCTTAGTCTTCACTAGTCGTACCCTGGCAACGGATATCAATACAATAATTATACTACTCTCACTGTAACTGTAACACACATGAAGTATTCTTTTCACAGCCTGACTGCCAACTCATCTGAACTGTCGATTCTCAACTAACTCTCACTTGGCCTGGGAACCTCATTATATAACCTCTGGGCGGATCCAACAGAAAACATCTTTTCCTGATAGTCTTTTAATCGTTGCTTGTATGTTCGT